TTTTTCAACAATCTCAAACATCCTTTCTCTGGGTCGAACGTGCGTTCTTCCTTCTTACCCATTTTACATAAAAATTAGCATATGTCCTGGGATTAGTTTGATCGATCCCGTAAGTAAACCAAAAAACTTACCTTTTTGGAGATCAGCGATTGTTTACCAAAAACAACGGTAAACAAATTGGCACACCCGGTGGGACGTTGCTAATTTTCTATGTTACTGTGTTTTTCTTGTACAGCTATAACATTGCATGTTATTAAGAAGTGGTAGAGTAACCAACAAATATACTGTTAGGAAGGAAAATAGAGAGAGTAGTATGGCTAACGAGCCAAACCATGGAGAAATACCCCCACCAATCACAGGAACCACTACGCCAAATAAGCTATTTAATAGCGCTTTTTTTTGTTTTTGATAGCACTTAAAAGTGCTATTAACCGCGCCACTATTGTAAATATTTCTTATTTAATAGCACTTTAAAAGCGCTATTAAAGTACCAATTTATAATAGCGTTTTAATTAAAGTGCTATCAAAGTCAGTATTTTGCATGTTTTTTGTTTGTTTTTTTATAGCACTCTAAACAAAAAGCGCTAATATATAACATATGTTTGATAGCGCTTTCTAATAAAGTGCTAATAAATGGTACATATTTGGTACAATATTTTTAATAAGTACAGTACAATATTTTTTCTTACACAATCATTTTTTTTGGTGTAAATATAAAATAACTATATTCAATTCAACACAAATAACGCTTTAAGTTACTCATTGCATATATATTATGATCCATCAAATACCAAATAACATTTTAAATTACCAAATCCTATTGTTTCCAAATATCATAACATATAGAATATTAAGAGGGCGTTTGCATAGCCAAATTTGTAGATGCCCATCTATGAGTACTTCAATCCAAATCCAAAAACATACAATCAAATTCTCTAAACAAAACACCAAAAAAATAAGAAAGGATAACAAAACAATCCCATGTAGTAACCACCTTCATGATCCAAAAGCGTTGAACTCATAGATACAATCACTAATTAGGCAAAATAATTGCTTCTTGTTTTCCTGTATCATAGAAGGAATATTGATTATGTATTGTACAATAAAAACTAATTCAACATATAAAGAATAATCAAACATTTAATATGGGTCTAACAAGAAGCGCATAAAATAAGGAATGATTATTATAAACTAATAACAATAAATCGATATAACTAATGCAATAATTGAACTAATTAAGTCTAACAAGAACATGACTTGTAAATATATAGACCACAATTTCCATTATTAGATGCATATAAACACTAAACAGAATATAATTCAAATTCTCAAAATATACAATAATATGAAATTGTGTTTCGATGTAGGATCTGCATTTTGAAACACAAGAAAATTTCAATTCAAATCAATATTGTCATAATTAATGTGACTCTGAGAGACACTGAGATAGAAGAGGACACAGACACATTGTCTCTTTCATTTATCCGTTTTTCTTAAGACAGAGAAAATTATTGTCAAATGCTGGTGCATGTTAAACACTGCCGACACACCTATTACCTACTAACTATTAGAAGTGTCCGTGCTTCATAACTATTGCCTTGTAAAATTAATATTATTGGCCACATTTAGCTATGATTCTCCGGAATATCAAAGATCGCGAAGCAATTTATAACCGGAATTTATTACCCTGGATCTAATATAAATAATTGAACTATGTTATAGTAATATAGTGAGAATTCTTACCTTGATTCTTTCTTTGCAAAAGTTGAAACTTGTGGGTGAAGTTAGTGTATCTAAGGCTATGCCAAGTAGCATCTACAACACCAAATGATTCATCAAGATGAACTTTATCTTCTCTAAGATAATATCCACCATGAAAAGCCCACAAACCCCAATCCAAATCTCTTCCAACAAGGTACGTTTGAAGACATGTCAAGAACCTATTATCTTCAATCGTAGAACCACTTTGATCAAATCCAAATTCACTAAAGATCAAAGGAACTGCATTCTCACCGGTTGTAAGAAACCCAGCTCTTTCATCCAACCCTTCAATACTATTTCCACATATTCTATTCAATGGTTGCTTTGTCCAAATCTCTTTCAATTTCAATGTTCCAATCCCAGACCATGAATACAAATGTGTCTCATACACCATTTTTTTACCTAAGTCTATGTTCATTGGTTTTTTCTTTAAAAACTGTAACTCAGTATCATAGTTTAAACCTGAGATAACAACAAGCACATTAGGGTTTGTTTCATGGATTGCTAGTGCTCCTTTACTCATATACTTGTACCAATCTCTTTGATTTTGGCGCGGACCGTGTAATTCATTCCTCAAACTCATCGCCACAACCTGTTTATAGATTAAAAACCAATCAAAGTTATGTTACAGTTAAAAAATATAAGGCAAACCGACAATAAAATGCACTGCCATGGATGAATTGCGTAGAACTCAAGATAAGAGTAAAGGAAGTAGAATATACATACAGCATGATTTTCATGAAAGTGTTTGGCTGCCAAAGTAAGTCCATGAATCCACTCTCGAGGATCGAAATGTCTATCATGAAAGAAACCGTTCTCATCATCATCATCACAACACCATTTAGGTTCACTAACATGATTATCAAACAAAACCTTAACATTCTGTGAACCAATCTCATCCACAACAGCATCAAAAGCTTCAATATGAGTCATTTTCAAAACCGAAGGATTAAACTTAGAAATACCGTTGACAACCTCAGGTAGATCTAGATCATTCAAAGTATCATTAACAATGCGATTACCGTGTCTCGTCCACATGTAAATCGCGTAGGTTAATCTCACACAATTGAAATTGTTTTTCACAAGCTCGCCAACGAGTTCTCTTATAGGTCTTCTATCAAGACCTTCGGGGATCATTGGTTGAAGGTGACCAGCCCAGTTTCCACAAACGAGTTTCACACGTGAATTTGTTGAATCATCTATGATCCATCTTGATCGTGTTGATAGAGGATAAGCGTTTGCATGTTTTGATGATGAATGTAGTGAAGATATGAAAACAAGCAGAAGAAGTAACAATTGTTGAGTCTCCTAGTTTAGACTCTGGTGACTTTGGAAGCTCGGTCAGAATTTGAACAACTTCGCGCATAGTTGGTCTTTCTACTGCTTGTTCTTCAACACACAGAATGGCTACATAGAAAACATGCATGACTTCATGAAGTGGAACTGATGAAAGTCTAGGGTCTAGGACTTTTAGAACTCCTTCTTTGTTGGAGTCTGTCATTTTTCTCACCCATTGCACAATGTCCACACCGTCGCCAAATTCTCCTACTGGTTTCCTTCCAGTTACAAGCTCTAACAGAACGACACCGAAGCTGTAGACATCGCTTTTCTCATCAACTTTCAAAGTGTACGCGTACTCTGCAATCATATATCAAACTCATAAATACATCATATTATCAAAAACTCTAATATAGCAACCATGTTAATGTTAATAAGAAACCATGTGCAAAACAAAGTATATGAAAAAGCTAAGACTAGACATTTTGCCAAACATCAACGGTGGGGCTATGAAAACAAAAATCAAATAATGCAGTGCTACCTACCATTTATGCTTGATCAAATAGTCAAAATCTACAGTCTAAACCATTATGTTTGGTCAATTAGTCAAAATTATGAGCAGTGATTAAATATACAGTTATGATTTTGGAAAAGGAAGTTCAATGTATAATTCATCAGTTAAGTTGAGCTTGAACAATACCTGGAGCTATGTATCCATATGAACCAGCAATAGCGGACATGCATTCGGATGTTCCGGAATCTTGCAGGAACTTAGCCAGCCCAAAATCAGCAACATGGGCTTCATAATTAGAATCAAGAAGTATATTGTTTGATTTGACATCTCGATGAACAATAAGTGGAGAACAATCATGGTGTAGATAGCAAAGTCCCTTGGCAGCCTCCACAGCGATTTTATACCTGGTATCCCAATAGAAATGACCCCCTTTCTTTCCATGAAGAACTTCACCTAAACTTCCATTAGGCATGTACTCGTAAACCAAAAGATTTGTCTCCTGACTTGAACAGAAACCCAACAGCCTAACAAACCAGATAGATTGTTATACGAAAAATCAACAGAAGTTAAGCTTTGCATTGAAGCTATAGAACCAGGAATACTCCCAACTAAATGATTTATAGATATATTGAAGTAATTCAATATCCTCATACCAGTAACCTCATTGGGAATAACCCCTGATAACTCATTTCGACTAAGATCAACAAAAGTTAAAAGCTTGCATTGACTAATCTCAGGGGCAATAGGACCAGAAAACTTGTTATGACTAAAATCAATCTTCGAAAGCTGTTGCAACCTTCCAATCTGTGACGGAATCTTACCAGAAAACATGTTACCATCAAGAAGAAGCTTCTGCATGCTGGAAAAATCACCAATAGAAGGAGGCAATGGTCCAGAAAGCTGATTGTTTGAGAGAGTAATCTGACCAAGATTACCAGAAACAGAATGAGTCTCAGGAAAATTTCCAGATAGAAAATTATCCTGAAGCTCAACCTGAGTTAGTTTCGGAAGTCCGAAAAGACCCTTAGGAATCGAACCATTCAGAAAATTATCACCCATTCGAATCCTATTCAGAGATTCACAAGTACCAAGAGATTCAGGAATTGGACCAAACAGAAAATTCCCAAGAGTTATCAGAGTTTGAAGATGATTCCCAGAACACAGATAAGGTGGAAGTGTTACCTGAGTTAGTTTGAAGATGATTCAGGAATTTATGCATTTAATGAATTGGGGTCATTCACATATAAGTATTTGACCTTGCCAGATTACATTGTTTTTCTGTTTGTGGTTAACAAAACACATACATTGACCTCCTTCATTATATATTAAATTGCATACACATTTTCTGCATGAAAAGACTCTTCCAAGGTCTCTATTATTATATTTTCATTTTTGTAATATATATATATAGCTACTTAAGTTCTTGCTACATTATATTAAATTTTCCATGTCTAGTATATGCAATTATTCAGCTAGATTTGTTTCTTACAGGCCAATCTCTGATGTCTCTAGTGATCTTACCATTGAAATTGGAGCTTCAAGCTTATCACTTCACAAGGTAAAAAGAACAACATAAAATAGCATTTTTATGTATTGATTGTTAATATGCATGAAAATAATGTTTCAATGTTGAAGTACTAACAAGTTGTTTGCAACTGTTTTTTCACAGTTTCCTCTAGTTTCTCGTAGTGGAAGAATTCAGAAACTATTGTTAGAATCAAGAGATTCAAAAGTTTCGCGCATAAGTTTCCCGAGTGTACCGGGCGGTGCAGAAGCATTTGAGCTAGCTGCAAAATTCTGTTATGGAATTAACATTGAATTTACTCTCTCCAATGTTTCTATGCTAAGATGCATAGCTCATTTTCTAGAAATGACAGAAGAGTTCGCCGAGAAAAACTTGTTGACGCGAGCCGAATCATATCTTAAAGAGACAGTACTCTCAAACACAGCAAACACAATATCTGCTCTTCACCGTTGCGAAACTCTCCTACCTATTTCAGAAGAGATTAAACTTGTTAACAGATTAGTCAATTCAATTGCCAACAATGTATGCAAAGAGCAGCTTACTTCGGGTTTACAGAAACTCGACCATAGTTTCTCTTCTCGAATCCTTGAACCGGAAACGCCTTCAGAATGGTGGGGAAAATCGCTTAATGTTCTTAATCTCGATTTCTTCAAACGCGTTTTATCAACGTTGAAGTTGAAGGGACTAAAACAAGAGATCATCAGCAAAATTCTGATAAACTACGCACATAATCTTGTTTTGCAGACAAGTGGCATACCTGCATCAGAGCTTTCACAGTATCTATTTCTGCTATACAACAAAGATGCAACCCAACACCTTTTTGAAGTATCAGCAGGACTTGATTCTCTTGTAATGGGAGAAGGTCAGATCCTTGCACAAGTCAAGCAAGTTGTGAAAGCAGGACAAGGAGTTAATGGATTTGGAAGAAACATCAGTGGATTATTCAAGCACGCAATCACCGTCGGCAAAAGAGTCCGAACCGAAACCAACATTTCGGCCGGAGCAGTTTCTGTGAGCTCGGCTGCGGTCGAGTTGGCAGTGATGAAGTTACCTGATCAAGCCTCACATGGAAATGCAAGAATGCTAGTTATTGGAGCTGGCAAAATGGGGAAGCTTGTGATCAAGCATTTGGTTGCAAAAGGGTGTAAAAAGATGGTAGTAGTTAATCGAACCGAAGAGAGAGTATCTGCAATCCGCGATGAAATAAACGATGTCGAGATAATCTACAAACCGCTTTCTGATATGCTCGAATGCGTAGGCGAAGCGGATGTAGTTTTCTCAAGCACGGCATCAGAGAATCCTTTGATTTTAAAACAACATGTTAAGGAACTTCCTTTCGCAAGCGAAGAAATGGGACGAAAGCGCCTCTTCGTCGATATTTCTGTTCCGAGGAACGTAGGTTCGTGCGTCGATGACCTCGAATCAGTCAAAGTTTACAACGTCGACAACCTTAAAGAGGTAGTGGCTGCTAACAAAGAGGACAGACTAAGAAAAGCAATGGAAGCACAAGTGATCATCGGCGAAGAATCGGGCCAATTCGAAGCATGGAGAGACTCGTTAGAAACTGTTCCTACTATCAAGAAACTGAGAGCTTATGCTGAAAGGTTAAGGATTATAATGCACACATCTTGAGAGAGAAATGTTAGTTCTCTCTTTTCTTTCTAGACAGTGATACTTCTTCTTCTTACTCTCTCTCACAAAAGACCACAACTTGCAGAACAATAACCATGGTTTTTTCTATCTCTCATCCATTTCAACCCCAAAACAAAATCAATCTTTCTCTTAAAATAAGAACAACAACAAAATAGAAATACAAGATTCAAATCAAGCATTTAAGTTCTCCAACAACAATCACAACAAATCGAGAAAATAGAGGAAAAAAATTGCTTACCTGCAAGCAAAACCGAGAGTGGCTGGAGATGGAGGTCGGAGTCGAACGCCCAGTGGTGGCTGCCGGTGAGCTACAGGGGGCCGGAGTGCGTCGATATTGTGCTTGCAGAAGCAGTTGAGTTGTCGTCGCGGTCGCCGGCGTGTCGTCGGAGGTAATGGATTTGGAATCTCCTTCCTGTGTTTTTTTATTTTGTTTCAGTTTCTAATGGAAATAACTTTTTTTTTTTTTTATCAATTAATTAATTAATTAATTAATTAATTCATTATTATATATAAGATAGCGCTTTTTAATAAATGCTATTATATAGGTAGTCAAATAATAGCGTTTTATACAAAGTGCTATCTTAAAGAAGTTTAATAATAGCGTTCTGGTACAAAGTGCTATCATAATTACCTAGTCTGTATTATATAATAGCGCCCGATTAAAAAGTGCTATTATAAATGTGTTTTTTCCATTTTAATAGCATTTTTTTTAAAAGTGCTATTAAATTAGGTGATACAAAAAATCATTTTTGGCGTAGTGTTAACAACGGTTACTACTGCTGTCGAAGGGAATATCCCAACTTCTGCTGGATCAATGCCAGCGTTAACCACAAATCAAACTGGACCCTTACTTTCATATGTGGGTCCAAGAGGTACTTTGGGAATGCCTCCACCAAGGATAAATTTAGGATCTCGATCAACTGTACCCCCAGGCTTTTCGACAACCTGGATAGGTCGAGAACAGCCATATGGCATGCCAACTACTGAAATGGCTAGCCTTATGAATGTTGCGTCCACCTTTTCAGAACCTTTGGTGAATGCAACATCGCTATTACAAGGGTCTGGAGCCAGTAGAAACCAATTTTTGGGAGGGCCATCTCACATGATACCAAGCCTCACAAATGTGTCGACAGCAATTTTGAGGCAACAGATGGACGAAAGTAATCATGAAATGGTACAAATGTTAGCACAAACTCTAAGTACAGTGCTAAATCCCCTCATTCAGACTGCTACACAGTCAAATCAACAGATGACATCGTAGATGACGCGCATGGCTGAATTCTTTGGGGTACCCCAAGTTGTTCGATAACCCCAGAGGATACCAATAAGAGTAAACCAAGGGGTAATTATGGAAGAGGATTTGACCGTTAATCCAAACCCCCAAATTCCTAGGGTAGAAGTAGAACAACCAAGGACAGAGATACCACGACACTTTCGAGAAATCGATCAAGGCGTTATTATGGCTAATAGAAACCAAAACACTGACGAATTAATACAGCAAGTTCGACACCAAAACTATGGGACGAACAATAATTTAACCGCCATGATCAAGAGGATCATGCTTCAAAACGGGATGAATGTTGGTTTTCACAGACCAAACTTTACATCCCCATTGTCAAAATATATTATACAAACAGACTTACCACCTAGGGGAAAAGTCCCAAAATTCACTAAATTTTCAGGGGATACGACAGAGTCGACTGTCGAACATGTGGCTAGGTATTTGATAGAGGCCGGAGAAATAGCAAACAATGAAAACCTTAGAATCAAATATTTCCCCAGTTCCCTGACAAAGAATGCTTTCACTTGGTTCACCACCCTCCCATCCAATTCGATCCACAACTGGAACCAATTGGAAAGATTGTTCCATGAACAATTTTACATGGGTTAAACCAAGATAAGTCTAAAAGAATTGGCTAGTGTGAAGAGGAGGTTTAAATAGCCAATTGATGAATATTTAAATAGATTTCGATTACTCAAAGCCAAATGCTTTACCCAAGTGCCTGAGCATGAATTAGTTGAAATAGCAGCGGGGGGCCTGGATTATTCGATTAGGAAAAAGTTAGATACACAATACCTAAGAGATATGGCCCAACTTGCTGATAGAGTTCGACAAGTAGAACGCCTTAAAGCTAAAAAAGCTAAGACTGCCAAAACTCATCGACGAGAAAGGGTAGCTTATGTCGAAATGGATGATAACGATCCGGAGACATACAACGACCCTATAGATGTCGAAGAAAGAGAAATTGATTTAGTTGAATTAAAACAAGGACCACCATATTCTTGTAAATTGCTAGTGCCGTCAAATGGGAAAAATCCTGTAGAACCTGAGAAAAACAGCGATAAATTTCCTAAGAAAACCTATAGCTTCGACATATCCAAGTGTGACGAAATATTCAATCTATTGGTTAAAGATGGGCAGATGATAATGCCCCAAGGGGCTAAATTGCCTCCTTTAGAACAAAGAAAGAAAAGAGGTTTTTGTGAATACCATAATTTTTTGGGACATAAAACCTCAAAATGTTCACTTTTCAGGGATCTTGTTCAACAAGCGCTGAAGGAAGGAAGGCTGAAATTTGCTGATAAACCAGCAATGAAAATTGACACAAACCCACTGCAGACAGAGGCTCATTATGCCGAACCAGTTGGCATTCATATGGTGGAAGTGTCTGAAGATTTCATCATGAAACCCATCTTTGGAAGTTTCACTGGAAACATCTCCAGAAAAACTATTGAAGGGGTGAGAAAGGCCACTGAAGGCCTGGATTCGAAAAAGGAAGTTGGCCAAGGGTCGAACAAGAAGGCTGCTGGTAGCCTGGAACTGATCAAACGGGTTACTGAAGACCCAAACAAAATCAAAGGAGTTGCTGAAAACTCCAGTAAAAGAACCACCACAGGTTCTTATTTGGCTGCTGCAAAGGGTTCGACAGAGGACTTGGAGGCCAAAATGCAGAAGATGAACCTGGTTGCCAAAAGCAACATGCAGGTTAACGTGGTTGAAGTCTCTGGAGCCAAAGCATCAGAGGAAGCCATTCGACAAGAAGAAGTGAACAAAACTTCATTCCCAAAGGAGGATGAAGATTTGGCAGATTTTCTACATAGGTGCCAAAAGAAGAAATCGGAAGTAATGCTATGCCTTAGATGTATCTCTATTTTCGATAATAAAGTCGCTGAACACATACAAGTTATGTGGGTTGTAAAAGAAAAACAGGGCGCCAATGCCCAACAAAGAATGGGTTCAAAAATCCAATTTGACCCCAAAAGAGGGCATCAACAAAGACCCATGAATCAGGAAAGGAGGCCACCAACTTTTAGGCCTCCAACTGATGTGCCTACAGATACTTGACTAAATACCATGGGTAGGAAGAGGCCAAATGAAGAAAGATGGCAGGCATTCGACGTACCTAGAGGTTCTTCTCTAGATTACAAAAAGGAGTACCATGCTTCTGCGTCGAACAAAATTACCCATGGTTCGAGCAATTACAAAGGAAAAAAATCCTATGTCTCGTTCGCAGTGGAGAAGGTTCCAAATACGGCCAAAGGCCGAGAAAGAGGCAGCTGGACCTCATCCAGAAGTTAGCACTAATGTGCAGAAAAAACAAAGGAAGCCTCTGGAGAGAAATCATGTGCCATGGGCGAAAGAGTGTGGGTCGAATGATGAAGACGACTCCGACTCTAGTGACAGTTTAGACATTATGGTGAATGTCATATCTGTGTTGCCCAAAGAATACAACTGTGAGGTCGAAGTCGAAGAAACTGACCTAATGGTTGAACAAGAACTGGCTAGACACAAGCCAGTATGTTACTATATAATGATTAATGGATGCGTGGAAGAACAAAACACATTTTTTGAACCACCAACAGAGGCAATGAAGAGCCATCTGAAACCCCTGTTCCTTAGAGCAAAGGTTGGGGAGGTAACCATAAACAAAATTCTGGTTGATTGTGGGGCAACCATCAATATCATACCACAATTCATGCTGGAAAAGTTAGGCAAAGGAGATGCTGACATAAAGCCACATAACATGGTCTTATCCAACTATGAAGGGGGAATTGGAACCATAAGGGGTGTCATTCAACTAGACCTCAAAGTGGGCTCAATCCTTCGACCCACTATGTTCATGGTTATTTCAGCAAAACCCAACTACAATCTACTCCTTGGTCGGGAGTGGATACATGGCATTGGAGCAGTGCCATCTTTAATGCACCAAAGGGTCACAATATGGCGTCCCGACGACATTGTGGAGAACATTGAAGCAGATTAGAGTTATTACTTAGGTGAAATCAACAGTGTCAAAAAGAATAGTTTCGACAAAAATTTGGCTCACATAGGGCCATGTAACCCACCTGAGTTTGATTTAACCCTAACTCCTAATGCATTCTGCTCCCTATACCTACACTCTGATCACGACTTTCAGTGGGATAGAGAAGACTTATCCAGCATCGACTTTAGAGGAGTTACCGATATACGACCAACAGGCTGGGGAAGCGAGTTTCATGATGATGACTGAGTCATCAACTCTCCAAAAGATTTCGGCATATGTGGCCAAAAATAGAATGATAGCGGCCTTAGAGGATGAAGTTAAATATGTGGCTTTCGAAGCCAATGAACAAGTCCTTTCGAAGACAGGGTCGGGGAAAGATTTCGACCCAGAGCCTCCCGACTTAGGAACAAAAGACTTTCTAGACCAGAGGTTAGACGCCATCTATGACGACGAACCTCTAGGTTTTGAAAAGGACCCGCTGGCGAACAATGTCAGAATGCTGGCTCAAGATCCTCTAGAAGAGGTAAATCTAGGCGAAGGTCCTGTGAACAAACACACATACATAAGCACAAAAATGGATCCAGGACTCAGGGTCGAAATGATCGAATTACTAAAAGAGTTCAAGGATTTCTTTGCGTGGGACTATGACGAGATGCCTGGTCTCGACAGAAGATTGGTAGAACTATAGTTACCAATAAAGCCTGGAAAGAAACC